TTTATGGTGCGGACAATGACATCATCTGATAAGGGGGTCGTAGGAGTGTTCGAGAGGAAGGTTTTGCGAAATATTTATGGTCTTTTGCGMATTGGCAACACGAGCACCGGAGAACGATGAGCTGTACGAGATATACGATGACACTGACATTGTTCAGTGTATTAAGATACAGCGGCTGTGCTGGCTAGGTTATGTTGTCTGGATAGATAAAGGTTATGTTTGTCGAGTTGGCGCCAAATAGCGAAAAGCGGAAACGATTGGCGTATGGTGGTGATTTTAACAGATCATTTCATATACATATGAATGTACCCTCGTGGCCACGAAAAGCTTACCACTAAAAATTTTCAAATGTTATGCATATTTGACAACTTTTTATRGCGGTCCTTTTCCAACATAAAAATTTTTATTTAGAAATAAGTTAATAACATAAAAAAAATATTAAAAATTAAACACAAAACACATTGAGCTATAGACAAAATCATAACAAAGTTAGTGAGCCTTACAAAGTGAGCTCAAATGGAAGAGACCGAAAAGCCATGAAAAAATTCTATTTTTAATTTAATTTCATTTACACTGTATTGGAATTAATATTTTTTTATTATTTTTATTTTTATTTTTATTAAACAGCGACTAAACGCAATATTACTTTAAAAACTATAAAATCGGCCGCTTTTGTATAAGCACATAAAAGCTAGTTTGTGTTTTACTCATTAAACGTAAWAAATTAGAAACTATAATTATAATTAGATAATATAATTTAGTTTACTTCTTCTTAACAAAAACAAAATTGAAGAAAAAATGCCGAACAAAAAAAAAAGATACCTAAACAAAGTTTAAGACAGTGTAGTGGTAAGCTTTGCGTGGCCACGAATGTACATATATGTATGATATTTATATACGTGTCCCACACTTCATTCATGAGTGTTGCAAAATTCGTAGCAAACTTAATATATCTTGTTCAGAGCTAAAGGTATTCAATTGAAGTTGATACGTATTCTCTTTGATACTTACAGTCATCATATGATAGGCGACGAAAAAAACGTTTTGTTTATACATGAGGTTTTTAGTCCATATAGAATAGTCTTTTTTTTTTACAAAGGCAAATATGTATTTGGTCCTGGTCCTATGAACTGTACACTCCAACTTTCTTCTACATCACAGTACTCTACGAAGCACCTTTGAAATATAATTTTCTCAACTAGACACATTTTAAACTATTTAGAATTTCATTAAAACAATATTTTCAATATTAATATTCAATAATTCTAWAATTAATATGAACCCACATTGATAATCATAGTAATAATATATATTTGTTGTTTTTTTAACCCATTCACAGCTTCACGATAATGGCCTACTGTTGGGCGCTTCTACCGGGCGAGCGTCCATCATTCGCTCAACTAAACGCCTGTCTCTCGGAGTTTTACGCCCAAGTGACACGTTACGTGTAAACCGATGTATTTCGCACATCCCTCCCCAATATTAGACTGTATTATTGCTTCCTTACTCAAAAACTATATACATATACATACATAGGTACATCCTCTAACGTATATATGTATATGTAGTATTTATTTATACTTAACATCTCAGCGCTCCTCGAAATCTATAAACAGGCAATCATAATAAAGTAATAAACACATATTAACATTTTTAAGTGTGTTACATTAGAATCGTTTTTAGTTTGAATAACCACTTCAAATTGCCAAATTATATATATTATTAAAAATTTATTAGTTTTAGGATTATTGCGCAAAGTTTAGATATTGAGACCATAAACAGATATTTTAAAGTTAGTCATAATTTTTTATTAAAAAATTGTGTAAATAAGAGATTACAAAAGTGTTTCAAAAATCAATATTGTTTATAATTATTTAGAATAATTAAATGTATACTTATGCATACATACGTGTACAAAAACTTGTATATAAGTTTAAACATGCGTATGTATATTAATATATGAATATCTTATTARAAAGGTTTAGTTAGCTTACCGTTACATACGTATATCTGAAATAAATGTTCGTTTGTACATCAAAGACTCATGTTATGCAATCTTCTTTAATTCGATCGGGTATACTGATAAACAGTTTTAAACTTGTCGTTATAATTATTCTTATGAGYTCTTCTATAAAAAAGTTATAAATTAAGCAAATAAATAGAGATAAATAGAAAACAGTAATAAGCCGTAAATCAATTTTTTAGTAGTGTAAGCACTAATGCATATGTACACATTTACATAACAGTATGAACGTACAGCCGTTGAAATAAAGTTAAACTTACATTTTAAGTAAATTAAAAATTTGTTACCCGCTTAATAAATTATCCAGTATACGTATATATGTAAATAGGATAAAAGAAAAAACACATTTTTACAATGGTAAAATCAAAGTTTTTGCAAGTTGTTTATGTCATTTAATACAACAAATAAATTAAAATTTTRAACTGTGCAATAAAGTCGTTTCATTTAGAATGAAAACATCGGCTCATCAATCTCGCTCAATTGCTCGGTTGATTGATTATTCAACCCATCCAATTTTTCAGCCAACGGACCAAATGACCGTAAAGATTTACTATACAAACACTTGGTGATTTATCACTATCCTTTCAATTTAATATTGTTATGTTTTGTTATGTCAATAAATGTAAATTGAAATCTTGTGTTGTCTAAAGTTGTCATTTAGCGTATCATGTAGCAGTCGATCTCGGTCGATCGGGTCCAGAAATATGTGATTTCACCTAAATGTGGGCGGCGCCGCGCCAATTGACCAGTTTTTATCCCGGCTCCCATAAAGCCATTTTTACAGTGTCAGTAAGGGTGCTAAAAGAATTTATCCTGAGTGGTAGCTTTAATGGTCTAGGAGACATGTAAATTAAACCAATTAGATAGCGGGACCGCGCCCAATTTTTTCAAAATTTTTAGCCCACAATTGCATGTAGCTACTGCGATCTAATGTGCCGAACTACTGTTCTTTACCGTAATATGGTGCTTAGTTATTGCACTTTATAAAGTTTCGCTTAATGTCGTTTTGTGGGCGTGAAGTGGTCCGATTACACCCATCTRTAATACCAATTATGTATCTTACAATGCCGAGAAACAGCTCAATTTTTAGTCAAGTTGCACAGAAGGACGACGGACGGACGGACAAACAGTCACCCGGATTTGAACTCGTCTCTTCATCTCGATAATTTATGTAATAGGTATAATTATAAAACTATATCTAACTCAATTAGGATTAGATTATACAGCAACATGTTGCGAGATGCTAGATGATAATTTTTTAATTATCATAACGTAACTTGGTGACAAATATTGATAATGGTGGTTCTCTTAACTTATGTATATAATGTATATAATGAAATTTACCTCTTTGCATTATGTTCAAAATATGTCTAACCCTGAAAAACCGTTAAAGCAGCTCAGCCTCAGCGTTACCTAGATTGTAAGACAATTCTGTACTAATTATTCAGACATTTATTTAAACAGTTTCACATAGCAAAAAGTTTTTCAAATATCTTAATTCAATTTCGAGAGAATCGGTGCAGTCATCAGAAGACTGCAACGTCACGTGAGATGGTTCCGAAAGKGAAGAAGCTACTTGAGCGAAATCCACGACAAAGTGCCAATCGAATGGCTAAAGAACTGAAAATATCCGACCGCAGCATCCGACGCATATTGAAAAATGAGYTCAAAGTCAAGCCTTACAAGTTCCAAAAGGCTATGAGCTCACACCGAAGCAGCAACAAGTAAGACTTAAGAGAGCGAAGCAGTTGATTCGCTTGTCCGAAAGCGGTCAAATTTCGAACATTGTGTTTTCTGACGAAAAAATTTTTTCAATTGAGCAATTCGTAAACTCTCAAAACGATAAAGATTACTTGACCGAGCGTTCATACGAGAATCTAAGTCATCGGTTGGCTACCAGGAGACAGCACCCGCCACAAATAATGGTTTGGGCCGCTGTCACCGCAGATGGGCGCTCTCCAATTGTTTTCATCGAGGCTGGCGTCAAAGTAAATGTGACCTATTGTCATAAAAGTGCTCTGGAGGCTGCTTTGAAGCCTTGGGAAAACAAACATTTCGGTCACAAACAATGGACGTTTCAACAAGACTCAGCACGGTCTCACAAAGCGCGAGTGAACCAAGAATGACTGAAAAACAACGTTCCGCACTTCATTACGACCACACAATGGCTCTCGAATTCACCAAATGCGAATCCAATGGATTATTCTCTCTGGGCSATTTTGAAGAGCAAGTCCGAAGTAAAAATACACCAGTCTCGAGATGCTGAAGAAAGCCACATTGGGGCAGCTTGTGATTTGTTTTKTGACCGTCTCAAGGCCGTTAATGCAAAAGGTGGTCATATCGAGCAAAAGTGAATTGGTCCTAAATTTATGATTATTTTCACAAATTTTGTACTAATAAGATAAACAGGAATAATTTTTAAACCGAATTTATGGATTTTTAATTAGTTACACTTTGAATGCTGGATCCTGTACATACATATATCAAGCTTTTCGCTTCGATTAAACTTACTATCGCTTTAATTTCTTGGTTGCATGTTCCGTTTAGTGGTAATTTGTTTTTAACTAGTGTAGATATTTACTCTAAATATGGTAACATAATGATCAAATATCTAATTAGRCATCGAGTAACTGAAATAGGGCGAAGCAGGACAGAATTATAGTTTTCCTTAAAATGTTATCTAGAAAATATAAACAAATAAAGTTTAGTTAATACATATCTATAATATTTTTTGTGACTTCCTTACCGTAGCTCCTGGATGAACTAACTTATTTAAATCATGATTTTYTTTAAAGGTTTCTACCCCATATGCATACATACCATAACTAATAAGGCACGCAACACAAGAGAATTCAAAAACTTCAGTTTTGGTTTTYTTATACATATTTATATTTTCATTGTAAAGAGCAATACAAGCACAATAAATCTACAGAAGTCCAATTTGTAATATATTATCTTGCCTTGTTAGAGATATGGTTCCTTTATTGGGTGTGTATGTAGTGTTGTCCTCATTACCATTTGAGAGGTTGCCCTAATACTGCCATACACGATGATTTCTCAGGGGTATTTGCTGCATAGCTGGGCTTAGGAGTGTAGCTGGACTGAGCAGCGTAGCTGGGCTTAGGAGCGTAACTGGGCGGTGGAGCGTAGCTGGGCGTAGGAGCGTAGCTGGGCTTAGGAGCGTAGCTGGNTAGGAGCGTAGCTGGGCTTAGGAGCGTAGCTGGGCTTAGGGGCGTAGCTGGGCATAGCGTATTGTTCGGCAGGCTTTGCGGAAGGTCTATTGCCGACAAATAAAAAAAATATATGTACTCTTTAAAATTAAAAATGGTTTATTTAGWACAAGATTAATTAAATCAAATATTGGAACACAAGCTAAATCCGAGTAAATTGGCTAATTTCTGATTTAAATGAATAGATTAATAGCGGTATCCAAATGGAGGCAGTACGTACGATGGCACATATTGGGAATAAGCGGCCGCTGAACCGTATCCACCGCTGCTACTTGGGGCACTGCAAGCCACAGGCGATAAAGAGGGTTGGCAGCTAAAAACATAGTTTTTAGGGCATGGTGGTGCAGGATAAGATGGTGCCGATGCTGGTGCAGGTGCAGGGTATGCTACAGCAGCTGGGGCTGGGGCCGCATAAGATGGYGCTGCAGCTGCAGGTGCCGAGTAGGATGGTGAAGGTGCTGGTGCAGAGTAGGATGGCGCAGGAGCTGCTGGTGCAGAATATGATGGTGCAGAACTTCCATATGACGGCGCTGGAGCAGGTGCTGAGTACGATGGAGAACTACCATATGATGGTGCAGGTGCTGGTGCAGAGTATGAAGGAGCAGAGCTGCCATATGAGGGTGCTGACGCTGGAGCCGGTGCAGAGTACGATGATGATGAAGAACCACCATATGAAGGCGCTGACGCAGGAGCTGGGGCCGAGTAGGATGGTGAAGAGCCACCACCATATCCACCGCCGTATGATGAAGACACCATAGCTTGCTTGGAGTTATCAGTTATGGTGCTCTCTACGCCTATAATGGCGATAGCTGCAAAAAAAACGACGTTGACRAAATAATTCATGTTTTACTCAATGATTGGCTTGTTCCTCAGTGTACAAGAGAACTGCTAGACTGCTGAAGATTTGAACATACGATACTGCTTTTATACGAAGCGAAAATTTAATTCGTTTGCAATTGCAACACTTTGGCCGAGCTACAAACATGCATACACCGCACCAAATTGAAAACTGTTAACGCAGCTGRTGAAAGAAAATAGAGCAAAAGGTAAAGAGGGAAGAACTGCATTCGCAAAGTACAGCGCAACAACCGTTGTTTCGGAGTATTTCGTTTAAGTTGGATTTTGTATAGCCAGCAAATTGAACTTATCCAAAGTGTTTTATGACGACAATGAACTAAATTTCATAATTATTCGGCTAACAACAACATTAATTTCAAGTAATTAAGTCATTGACCACTTTTTGAGCTTCTTTACTTACACGAATTCTTATATACCCTCGTACATACATTTATGTTATATATACATAGGTGTATATAATATAATATGTAATATTTTTAGAGCAAATTTTTCTGTTTATTTGTAAATCCTGGTAATTATTATTTTAATGTTCAAAAAATAGGCGGTGGTCGCTATATATTGTCAATAACGACCTTACATCTTGATTTGGAGCCAAAAATATAAAATTTGCATTTATTCGTAAATAATTTTTTTCTTCAAAAGCGCAATATCACATAGCAAATTCGTACCATATGTATGTATAACTATGTGAAAGAGGAAGAAGTCACTTTATATGAAAATATTAAATCTCATGGGTTTGTGTTTTGCATAATATCGTATTTTAAGAAAATAGTAATTTCCGACCTGCCTTCAGAAATATTCGAACTTATTTTCACTGAAGTGTCGCACAATGCCGTACCTTCACTTCARGTCCTAGTGAATAATAATTAGAAAATCGAACATTTTAAATGAACTTCTTTTATTTCTTTCTTTCATATACGTCTTTACATAACTTAACTAATATTTTTCAGATCAGACTTCAAGAAGGAATTCCCAATGGAATCACGGCTATGGAATCGTTGAAAATATTGCTGAATGTTTTGGAGAGTCTAATATACTTTATCATAAACACCGGTATGAAGTGTGTCAATGCTAGAGTGGTACCAAAAGAAAAAGTTCAGTACGAGTTTATGGGAAACTGAATTAACATTGTCACGTCATATTGTCATATTGGGACTATTTTGATGATGATAATAAAAACATTTAAAGATCTTTCTCTTGCATACTCTTACAACTTGTTACTACAGAGTATAATAGTCTTAGGTGTACACGGTTGTAACGGTTTTTTTTCTTTCAAAACGACGCTCAAAAAGTAGATCAATAATGACAGCAAAAGACACTATATTTTTCCATTTCTCCTCGGTGACTTTGGTTATTTCATCATGGAAAGATATACGATCCATCAAGGAGTCGAAATTATTAAAATTTACTACAGAAATTCGGAGTCAAAGAGTTGAGGCCTTAAGTGCGCTACGTTCAATTTATGGTCGTCATGATCGTCCTGACAGATCAACAATTGAGCGTCTAGTGGAAAAATTTTAATCCTGAGGCACTGTACGCATTGTTCCCGTGCCAGTGAGACAAAAAATTGCCCGTAGTGTTGAGAATTTCGCTGCCGTTAACGCAAGAAATCAAGACGTTTGACCTCCAGAATCTTCGCATGTTCTTGAATTCAGCAGAGCAACAACTTGAAAATGATCCGGATTTTCATCGAAAAATCATAATAAGGAAAATATGCGTTATTTATTAGTCAGGCAGTAATCAACACGTACTCCATGAATCACCATTGCATCCGGAAAAAAGTACGGTTTGCCACGGTTTATGCCTGTACTTCTTCCATGATGATCAAAACCGTACGTCACTGTGAATAGGAATCGCTACCACTCAATGATAACCGAATATTTTTGGTGCGAATTGGATGATATGGGCTTGGACAATATGTGGTTCCAATCTATGAATTGAAATATAATATTTGTTTTTATTTTTATGCAACAACTTTCCTTTGTACTATGAACATACTATAGAATTTTCATAATTTCACGGAATATCAGTTTTATAAATTTATAAATGTAGCTCAAGATTATCTATTTTTGTTTTGTTGGTTTTATTATTTTGATTCGCTGGCAGCTGGTTGCTGTAATGGTATGAAGCATAACTTTTTTGCATGTTTATTATAATATTTTTTCGAAAAGTAAGCCATGTCTATATAGTGCCGTAAATAGTGATAYACTGTAGTTAATAAAGTTATAACACTTAAAGGTTTTGATGCAATTAGTTCTAGGAGAATGGAACCATGCGATAATCATGTATTAAAGAAAGCTTTCAATCGACGAAACACTTCTCAACAAGGTGGGCCTGTCCTTCAATTCGCTGGAGAATAAGAAAAATCGATATTGCCAAACCTGMCAGTGTTTCTTGAAACATTGCACAGCGCAGGTAGATTTTGATAAATTAAATTTAAAGAAACTCCAGTAGCTGGCGACACGAAACCGTTAGTAACATGCGTAAATTTTTAATTTAAAATTGCCGATATTTTTTGAACACGCCTCGTGGTACATTTCTGAGTGAACCTCAAAAATAATATAGTTCTTAAATAATGATKGCTCAATAAGACACAATTTGTGTTTTGAGTGGTTTGTCAAAGGCAGACATCAAAACTGCTATATTTTGTCAGACCCTCTCATAAAGGAAAAACCCAAAAAAAATGTAGGTCAATAAGGAGTACAAACTCTAGCACTTGGATGTCTCGAGAAATTATGTGAGTGGCTACTAACGGGGCATCTCGACAGGAGAGAATTTATAGAATGCTACCTGCATTGCGGTGCCGATAGCCTGTGGAGACTCCACATTGCATATAGCTTACTAGATATAGAATACTATCTAGTTTGCCATATATCGTAAGCTATGAGCTGTCACTTCAACCGTTTGGCAGCGCAGTTTTCATTTTTATGAAAATTTCGAAGAGGCAACATATCCCATTTGCACATATGCCGACGGCATTTTCATTTCGGTAATATGAAATTTAGAAGAGCGAGTATTAAGACGGTTGTGTTATATTATATTCAAMAAAAAAAAAAAAAAWTTATTCTTTTTTTATTTTCCACATAAAAGATTTAAGGAGTTTAAGAGCACAAAACGTGCGCTACATCAGCTACCTACCCGACGGCATTTTTTTAAATAAAATTTTCAAGAGCTCAAAGCATGCGCTACATCGGCTCGAACCCACCTACCCTACGCCTTTGCGCAAATGATTATATCATGCTAGCAAACGCCAACATACAGATTTGGCAATGGCAATAGCAATACGTTTGACAGTTAGTATTCTACAAATTCTATCCTGTCGAGATGGCCGTAACATTTCATAAAAAATGGGCTCTCAGACACAAAAATCATATTTTTACCTGCTAATACAAAATCAGTTTGTCATGCCCTTGATCAGGGCATTAAACAGAATTTCAAATGTCACCACAGATGCAATGTTATACAATATATATTGACTAAAGAAGATGACAGTTGACAATGAACAAACTTTCAAAAACATTTCACATTTTGTCATTGACGAAAATGTAACAAGGGATTATCTGATAAAGAAACTGAAGACCTAAATGCACTATGCGCCCATGATGCGGGTCAAATTCAATCATACACTAAAGCAGTAAAACAACTCCGCGGCATTAAAAAATTGGTTAGTGACGACGTCTGTGTATTTCAGTACGGCAAAAATTTGGAAAATCATCTTGAAAACTGTTTTATAAAACAGAAAGAGGGAAAGTTGGACAAACTACGGTAAGTTAATTTTTGAAAACTCAAACGTATATAAATAATACAATTTATTACAACTATGAAACGTCTCAGAAATTAAATGAATAAAATGACCAAGAAATCTAATTTATTTAAGAAGTAGTGTGTGTATCCATTTTAGAAGTCAGTCGTCCACTCCTATAAGCGGACAAAATTTGTACAACCGTCAGTGTCCGGTTATGGGAGGCTGACTGTACGTATTTCACTTTGTTGAACACTTAAAATAATTTGAAAAATAATTAGAAGAATTCTTTCGGAATGGGGTTAATATTTTGAACCCATTGAATTTCTGGGAAATCAGTGGAATAAATTCAAAGTTAAAGAAATAGAAGTTATAAACTTTTTGAAAGTAGGTAAGAACATATAGCACATATAGCTATTTATTCTCTCACTGCTCTTTTAGAATGGCTAGAGTTAATACATACAARACAAGAGATCGTTACGAATGACTTGGAATATTGTCTAACTACAATCTCGGAATATATTATTCAGATCGAATCACTGTAGTATATACAGCAGCTGCTATACATACAGACCGATCAAAACAAAGTCCTTGCATGGAATCAAACTTTATTTGACAATATGTCTTTCTGAAATGTGGCATTGATTATTGCCGAAAGTAAGGATACATCCTCTGATTATTTTGCTTGGGTCGCACCACTGTATCATATATGTATGTATGTAGCTGTAAWTCAAACAGACCGATCAAAATCARACTCTTGTATGAAAAACGTTTAGATTTGTGAAGGGTATTATAGCTTTAGTGTAACCGAAGTTAACGTTTATTATTGTTTTTCTTTATAATTAGCATATTTTTATAAAAAAAAAAGCATATGTTGTTTAAATATTCCGGCGAATTCTCATACATACATATGTATATTGCTTACTCGTATTATTGTAAAATGTGATTTTTTGCTTCCGCTTTAATATATGTAAATGCTTACAATGAAACTCGATAAGCTTAAACATATATACATATGTGCGTAGTATGTTTGGATGTATTTAATTATGAAGGCCAACTATGAAGAAATGCAAATGAAGACTTCTTCATGACTATAACTAAATGAGCTTTGATACGCGAGTGTGCAGGTATGTCGGTTAGTAACTTGAATAAAATGAAGTCCAATGACCTAATTTTAAGTATTGATGTACATRAAGTTTGTAATAGATTTAATGTCTTTCACTATGTGTTTCAAGATGGAACAGAAAGTTAATGAGGTTGCACTTTAATAGTAGCTATAGCATATAGCTGCCATACAAACTGAATGATCGGAATCAAATGCTTGCATAGGAAACTTCCTTATTTGACAATATATCTTCACAAAATTTGGTATGAGTTATTGTTCATAGCAATAATGTTAAATCGGTAGAAATTGCTCAGATCGGCTGAATATAGCATAGCTGCCATACAAACCGAACGATTAGAATCAGGGGCTTGTATGGAAAACTTTCGCATTTAACGTGGTATCTTCACGAAACAGTAATCCTCTTCTTCTTCTTGATTGGCKTAGTCACCGCTTACGCGATTATAGCCGTGTTAACAACCGCGCGCCAGTCGTTTCTTCTTTTCGCTACGTGGCGCCAATTAGATATTCCAAGTGAAGCCTGGTCCTTCTCCACTTGGTCCTTCCAATGGAGTGGAGGTCTTCCTCTTCTTCTGCTTC